AATATTCACCGATTAACATGATTAAATCTGTTATAATATTTTACTTTTGACAATTTAATAATCTTGCTATCAAACAATAATTCGTATTTCAAAAATGCATGGCATATATCTGTACATGCACAGTAAAACACGTTTAAAATAGAGAAGTGCCAAGGATGAAAAAATTTGATTTGTTATAAACATAATTCATTATACCTGTTTAATTAACAATACATTTTAAAACCATAGGAAATGAAAATCACTTCGCTGTAAGCATGGATTCATTATAAGTGTTTTGGCTATGTATAACCGTGTTTTACTGAATTTATATACATGTAGAACATTTCCCACATCAACCTTTATGATGCAAATTTTTGTGAATTAATGAACATTTTTTTTTTTTTAAAAGAAAAGTGTCTGCAAAATAAGCATATTATCATCCTTTGACATAATGTTTGTACATGTACTTTAACATTTTTTGTAAATTGATCAATGATCACTACTACATTTCTCATGCAACTAATAATACTTACAGTTTCCTTTATATGACATTTTTCTAGAGCTGGCCATAATGCTTCATCACTGTACTCTCCAAACGGATCTAAGTTGTACCTAAAAATAGAAGTTATACCTATAATTAGAAGTTATAACTATAATGAGAAGTTATACCTATAATTAGAAGTTATATGCAACACAAACAGAAAGTTTTATCTATAATTATAAGTTAATTTATACATGTTATTAGAACTTATGTATGTAATTAGAACTTAAACATATAGCAAGAAGTAACAGCTGTACAGTTATAACTCATGTTTAGATCAGACCTGATGGTTCCTATGAAGAGGACAGGATCCTGTGGTATAATGGCAAGCTTAGACCTCAGATCCTCTAATCCTAGTGTTGATATGTCAATACCATCTAACTTAATGGTCCCAGAATCTAGCTCCACCAACCGAAACAGAGCCACACCCAAAGACGATTTTCCTAGAGAAATTGAAAAGAATGCAAATTTTCTTAATTGTGCATTGAACATGTACAGGATTTAGTGTATATAATTATATTGACTTAAAAAGCATACAAAGTCTTTATGTGTAGCACAAGACACTTCCTTGGCTAAGAAAGTGTAGAAAGCCTGAGTTATACCTGAGCCTGATCGACCCACAATGCCAATCTTCTCTTGAGGTAGTACATCAAAGGACACGCCCTTCAGGGCCAGGGGGAGGTTCTCTCTGTACCGGAGCTTGACGCTCTTAAAGACTAATGTCCCCTCGTGTGGCCAGTCATCTGGGGGACGGCTTTTCTTGATGACGGATGGGGCCTCTGATTCTGCTTCCTGTATCAAAATTACAAAAATTATAGACCAACAAAACGGCAAAACAGATATGTGGTCCATACCATGCTATGAGAAACTGTGACTGCAGTGATGGAGGAAAGATGTCAGTATGGGTACTCTTGGCATAGTTTATGGAATATGCATAAAGTCATGTTAATCTACTTCATCTACTAGTACGTGTAAGTTTTGCAGTATTATATTACCAAAACTTTCAGTGACTTTTCTCTTCAAAAATTCTTCACTAAGTATATCAACAACTATGAAATGAAACAGTCACTCTCTAATAGAGTGATAAACAAATTTGTTAATATATGTAACAACAAGTGAAATTTTCCAGGCTTGTAAGTGCAGTACCTTTTCATACTGTGAGAGTCTCTCCACAGAGGTAAATCTGGCCTCTGTGTCTATTGCCATCCTCACAGTAAACTGGAATAACCCTGTCATCTGAAATTATAATGGACACATTTCTTCATAACACAACTCATATGCATGAATGTATTACCATCTAATGCATATTATACATGATTACCTACTGTTTGAATTAATGTACATCAGTACGTGTACTTCATAAATGCACCAACAACATTATTAATGAATGTGTTAGTACATGTAAGTCTGACAGCACTCTTCATGAATGGACTACTGTATACAGGGAAAATTCAGCCCCCGTTTTATTTTCGCCCCTTTTGCCCTACCCCCATTTGGGCGAATTTTAAACAGAGCGAATTCAAAGAATATAGTATAATTTCTTAAACAGAAATATGACTGAGCGAATTTAAAATGGGGCAAAATTGTTTGGAAGTGTGAAAGGGCGAAAATAACACGGGGCAAAATAACCCTGTATACAGTAATAAGTCTGACAGCATTATTTATGAATGGGTAAGTGTCTGACCCTCAGATGCTCTGAAGGAAAATACTAATTAAAATTTCAAGTAAAACAAGTTAATCAAGTAAATACTTTCTGCATACCTGTACAGAGAAAGCCAGGGCCATGCCTGCTAATGCTGTTGGAATGTTGGTAACAATTACTAGAAGACCTGTCACTCCTACCACAATTACACATAGGAGATCAAGGCGAATGGCAAGCCAGCGATTGGACGCTGAAAACAGGAAGAAAGGCACCGAATTGGTGTCTAGCAGCTGGTGAAATCTACGAAATGTAAACATCAAGCATGTACAGAATCATTGCAAGATTAACTAGAACTATGCTATGTCATAATTACACATGCAGATAAAGGACAAGATAGGCTAAGACCCCTTTTTGGCCCATGCTTTGTGTTGTCTTTTAGAATAGTGCAACAGTTTTACAGTAAAAACAGGTTTTCACCCGTGCCACAATTGGTTCTAGGTTTTGGGATGCATAGCAGCCACAGGAAAGTCAGAAAAAATGTCCATTTCCGAATTTTCTCATTTTTATGCAAATTTTCAACAATCTTACAGTACAATTTAAGAAAACATAGAGCATACACTTGTTAATCTACCAAATTTATATATTTCATGTACTAGAATCAGATGCATCTTGTATATAAAAAATCTCTGATAGGCAAGCTTGTGCTCCATGTTTTCCGAAGTGAAATGTATCTGAAATATTTGAAGAAATTCCAATGTCCAGAATTTAGGAAAATCGGGAAAATGTCCAACTTCTGCACCCTCTTGTGCCCTCCGTGCAAGCCTTGAATCAAAATAAATGTTTTTTTTAAAACAATCATCATTTTAAGTTCTTAATTACTAAGTAAAATCTATCTGTGACGTCATTCTTTTGTTTGAGTGCTCCATTACTTTTCAGGTATGGAGAGTTGCAAATTTCATTGAAAACGGATTTTGTTATGGTCTTATTCTCCTTTCCGTGCCTCTACCGAGGAAAGAACTTAAAAATTTTAGAGAACAGTTTTAGGAAATTGTACAGTTTAGTTTCACATTAAGAAAATTATAGTACCCGTAGTGAGAATCGAACCTGGTACCCTCACCTTAGAAGTCTGGTACTCATTTTAGTGAGCTAACAAAGCTGTTGAAAGACATGGAATTAGATTAACTTCAGTACACTTTTTTCGCCTTTCTTTCTTTATTATATATAAATTTAATACTACTAATATATAAGTATTTGCAATATATCATATAAATATTCTTACAAACAATAAAAACAAGCATTCAGAAAGCTTAGGAAGATTTTACACGGGTTAATACACTCGTAGCGCTCCATTCCTTAAAAGTAATGGGTCTCGGCTCCATTACTTTTAAGGAATGGAGCGCTACTCGTACATTAACCCTTACATATCACAATTTGAACTGTGTTTTGATTTTTAACATCAAATAAGGGCCCAGATTTAGCCCTCACCATACCTTGTCCTTTGGTCAATTAATTTTTTTCTCCAAATTTCATCATTTATATTTACAAGTACAGACTCTGACAAATCAGAATTTGTGTTATTCTTGAATTTCTACATCTTGTGACTGATTTAAAGCTTATTTTATTCCTCTTCTTATTTTTATCTTCAAAACTTCTCACCTATCCATAAATTCTGTAGATTTTCCAAAGGCGTGAATGGTGCTGATCCCCTGCACAGTGGCAGTGATATGGCTGATCAACGGGGAACGGGTTCTAGCATCCATTCTCTTTAATTCACGAACACCGGAAGTAAACACAAAGTTCAACACAAAAAAGGCAATAGCAAGGGGTAAAAGGGCAATAAGGAAATAGGGGGAAACATAGGCTATACTAATGAGGGCAAATATTATCATTAGAATGTTCATTAGGAAAACTTCAGCGCTGGCTGGTAACCGGACATCAACTGAAATAAAAGTTAAAAATAATAAATGATTCCACCATATTTTTTTTCTGCTTTCAGGTATTGAGAAACATCACATTCTTAGTGGGAAAACTTACTTTTTTCTATGATATTGAATAATCTACTACCAGTTGTGAGAAAAACATATTTTGTCTGTTTTATTAGAAAAAATAAAAATTCTTGACAATCGTGGTAAGAACTTACTTTCATCCATGTCATAGGAAAATCTATTGACGATCCTCCCAATTGGAGTAGAATCAAAAAATGTCATGGGACATCTTAGAATTTTTCTGAAATTTCTATCATGCATCTTGCTCGAAGCACGAAGTGTAACCTAAAAGAAAGTGATATGCGGTACACTGTGGATTGTACATTAAATTTGAAATCTAAACATACAGCAGACACATACGCAGCTTTGTTATATTTGTCATTTTTTTCTATACACTATACATCATCTTGTCCTATAAATAATTTCAAACAACATTTATTTTTAAAATACCTTCATAAAAAGAAAGGCTCTGAAAACTGTAAAAACAACTATGGCAATCACACCCATTCCGTAGATCAGAGCATAGAAATCTAGCTCAGGATTGTCTTGTATGTTCATATTCTTCACAGTCATATTTCCAATAATTGTTGTATTCTGCAAAAAAATAGAAGACACTTAAACTTTATTTTTCAATTAAATTCTATTTACAGGTAATTGCATAAGTTTTGGATTACAAACACCCACACAACAAGTGCACTGCAAAGCATAGCATCCCATCACAAAAGACCAAATGGATTTAAACTGCTACAAGTACTTGCATAACTTTCATACAGCACACACTCCTCACTTACAAAACATAACTATACCCCTCAAACTTCACTGAGGATAAAAAACAAAATATAACTTCCATTTTAATTTATAGTTAATAAATAACACTATAACTTTACACTTTACACTTTTTAACTTTACACTGTACGATCCTCTCCCATTCTGGCCGTGGTTGCATGAGACGAGATTTTCTCGTAGGTCATTAAAGAACTGACCAATGCAAGTAAAGCATAGTCAGAAATTGACCTTCCATGTGACCTTTCAATACCCAATCGCAGTGTAAGAAATACTGCTGCGGTCATTTGTTGATTTCAATTGCGATGGAAACAAAACTTGTCATTGACTGAATATGACGTCACAATAGAGAGGCCTAAATATTCAAGATTACGACACTTTTTTGTGACCAAGCAGCCACGGGTAGGAGAGAGCTATATGCAGACTCCGGACCGTGGCTTGAGACGATGCCCTCCTCCCTGTTATAACAGTAAGATAACTTACCCCTCCTCCCTGTTGTAGCCAGTAAGATAAGTCATCCCTCCTCCCTGTTATAACAGTAAGATAACTCACCCCTCCTCCCTGTTATAACAGTAAGATAACTCACCCCTCCTCCCTGTTATAACAGTAAGATAACTCACCCCTCCTCCCTGTTATAACAGTAAGATAACTCACCCCTCCTCCCTGTTATAACAGTAAGATAACTCACCCCTCCTCCCTGTTATAACAGTAAGATAACTCCCCCCTCCTCCCTGTTATAACAGTAAGATAACTCACCCCTCCTCCCTGTTATAACAGTAAGATAACTCACCCCTCCTCCCTGTTATAACAGTAAGATAACTCATCCCTCCTCCCTGTTATAACAGTAAGATAACTCACCCCTCCTTCCTGTTATAACAGTAAGATAACTCACCCCTCCTTCCTGTTATAACAGTAAGATAACTCACCCCTC